TTTTTAAGATCTTGGTAAAAATGAGTTTTACCACTTAGGGAGCCTTTATGAAGAAATGGAGCAAGATTTGAAGGCTGATCAAGGTTCCTAGGCTAATTGGGTATTTTTGAACACCATGGGGAGGTCAAAATTTCAAAAATGTTGGTCCTTCTAGTAGAAAATAGGAGGACTTGCAGCTAGTGTAGTCCTTGTAGGAAGGGGAATGTACAAGTCCCAAATGGGTTGTAGCACCTTGAAAGTAGTTAAGAGGATAAGACTAAGGCTTCGTGGCCTCTCTTAAACATCCACATACACTACATGTGAGCCTTGGTGAGGTTCGAACCCTTGATCTATAAGTAAGTTACCTTTGGAGTAAAATATTTGCACTTCACTTTTCAATTATTTACATCATATCTATAAAGCTTCATAACTTACTCATAGTAATTCGGATTTACATGGTTCTTAAGTCATTGGAAAGACAATAAAATTAACTATCTAAAAATATAATTTTTACTTTTTTACTTTTATTTTTACTGAGTGAAAACATAGTAAAAATATTGTGACTTAGTTTTGGGTGTTGTAATTGTTTCATTTCATTTATTTCAATTGCTTTGTGGTTATTCTTCTTTTGTTCTTGTTATTTGATTACTTTATTTCATACAACCAATTATAAAAAACTCTTAATTGATGCCATCTTGTAACTTGGGTTGAGGAGTGAAAATTTATAATCACATTTTGGTGCATTTGTAGGAGATGGTGCTTCTAATGGGTGTGTGTGGATGTGAAGTTGCTTGTTGTAATTGATTGTGCTTGGTTTTGTTAAGTGAGCAATTCAAGTAGCTCTTCATCATTGGTAAGTATTCTACATCTCTTCCTTATTAGTGGAATCAAAGCATTTCTATTTCTTACTTTATAAGATAGTAAAAATTTCATTGTTGAGTTGATTATTGATTTAATCTCCAATTTTTGTAAATCAGTCTTTACATGTTGCGTATTTCAACTTCAAAATTTTTGAGATTCTGTATCTTGATGTGAACTTTCTAAAAAGCTGTCACAAGTTTGAATTGGACTAAAATTGAATGTTAAGTGGATTTTTGATTAGAAGGGAGTTCACTGCCTTGCTAGTTTTGTGTACTCCAAGTTGCTCTCAGGTTTTCATCAATCAGTTTTTATGTATTGCATATTTGATAGTGAAACTTTTTGAAGTTTTGTATATTAATGTGAGCTTTTTAAAAAGCTATTGCATGTTCAAATTGGAATTGATACAAATTTATAGTGAGTTTTAGACTAGAAAGGGGTTCACTGCCTTAGCAATTTGATATACCTCAAGTTTATAAAGGCATTTCTTAGTGCATGGTGACAATATAATATTGGAAAGGGGTTCACTCCCATGGCAGTTTTATATACCTCAGGTTTAGAAAGGCATTTCTTAGTGCTTGGTGACAATTTAATATTGAAAAATTCTGAGTACAAGAATCTTCAAGTTGAGATTTTAGTGATGCAAAATTTGGTGCTATTGAATCAAAATTAAAATTTTGGCGATTTTTGGAGTAGAGAGGAATTGCTACCTTAAGCGGAATTAATATTAATATTAATTTTATTTTTAACTTTTAGTTTCACATTTATTTTGAATTAATATTATTTTATTTTTAACTCTTAATTTTATTTTTATTTTTTAATTTTAATTTATTTTTATTTTTACTTCTATTCTATTTTACTTTGACTTTTATTTTGAATTTTACTTATCTTTTTATATTTTTTTTCTTTATTTAATTCTTAAATTTATTTTTATTTATTATTATTATTATTTATTATTATTATTTATTTTTTAATTTTTTAATTTTTAATTTTAATTTTAATTTTTTTTACATACATGATAATTTTATGTATTGAAGTAAGTTAATATATTTTTCATTTATTCATTAATTTATTTCTTTGCAATAGTGTTATTTCTAATCCTAAGTAGAATTTGATTAGTTAAATGTTAGTATTAGCATTGTTTGGTTGTTCTCTTTAGGTGGTTGTCACTTGCAAGCATAAAAGGTGGAGCTCGCCTTCAAGGTTTCATCACTCCCCTTCCTTGTAATTTTTCTAGTTGAGGGCCTTTTTCTAGTGGTAGGAGAATTTAATCACTCCCTCCATCCTTCATATCATTTCTTTTCACCCTTGTGAACTTCTAGTTGAGGGCTTCTCTCTAGTGGTAGGGAGATTTAATCACTCACTCCACCCCTCGTATCCCTTCTATTCATAGAAAGTAGTGTAGAAAGAACTCAACAAGAACTTCAAGAGAATTCTTCATCAACAAAAGAAGAAGAGATAGATAGAAAAATTAGCTAGAAGGAATTGGAAAAAACAAGGAAAAATGTAGGAAAGAAGAAAAGAGAAGACCAACAAGTTCAAATCATAATCTAAGATGAATATCTTTTCAACAAACTTCATTGAATTTAAATTTATTTTGCTAACACAGATTATGGTTGAGGCGAAGGAGTACAAGAAGAGAGAAGGAAAGCATTAATAGCTTGTAACCAAGTAAGTCCTTGAATCTTGTCAATTATTCTTTCTTTAAAATTTTAGAAAATTGCTTGAATACAAGGAGCAGGAGCTAGGAATTAGAGGGTAGAATCTAAAAAGAAGACATGAAAAAGATAAGTCTTTAATCTCTCTTATAGGTGTAGATGGAATAAGATAGATAGAACCTTTAATCTATTATCTTTAAGCCTTAAATCCTTATTTAGAACGTTTAGTTCGAGATCGGTTAGGAAAAGAGTCACATATTTTGGAAGTTTGTTAACAAGTGACAAGTTGGCTAGAGATGCAATTAGGTGAGTTCTTCTTCAATGTAGTATGATTTATTTGCAAAGAATTATTTTTGTAATGTAACCTTTGTTATTAAGTGTTATAGTAGGTAATTCTTTAACTATCTTATTGTAAAAAAGAAAGAAAAAATAAGAGCTTGGGCTCCTTGCCATCCCAGTATAGAATTCTTTTTTACAACTAAGATTGCTTAAGGTCACTCCTACACAATAGTAGTTTTTATATAGCAATTAAAGTCGGGAATAGTCTTACTTGGAATGATACTTAAGCAAGCATTCTTCCTTTAGTTGTTTTTGTTTTGTTTCCCTTCCTTGTCGGAAGGTATTTAAGTAGGTTGCAAGTGGAAGAGTCAAACATTTAAATTATTATGAAATTAGGTAGATTAAAAATTACGCTAAATTGAACGATATGTCTATAGTCATGTAGATATATTGTTCCATTAGATCTAAGCAACCCAACCTATCTTCAACTATAGAAAACTTTGGATCTGTTGGCTAAAAAAACAAACCAAAGTTCAAACAAGTAGAAATTCAACATTTAGACAAAGCAACCCTCACTTCCAATATTAGAAGATGTTTTTGTTTCAAATCCAATTGAATCAAGTCTGGACAAGGAAGTAGAAGAGAAAGGATTGGATTCTAACTCTTCTAACTTAGTTGTAGAGGTAAATCAAGAGAGAGAAGGGTCAATACCTCCTTCTCTTCCAATGGAACATAAAAGAGAATCTACACCAACCTCTATACCCATCAATCCTTTGATTCAACCAAGAGGCTTGCCAATAGTAATCCCTAAGGATTTACAAGCAGCTCCTATGCTCCACAACTTCCCTATATTTAAAGGGATTAGAGACGATGATCCATTGATTCATGTGGAGAGATTAATGGAACTTCTCACAATGTATTTAATAACCAATCCAGGTTATTATCTTGTATCGTTTTCAAGTACCCTAAAAGATGGAGATTATGAATGGTATAGAAGCCACCCTCCCCAAACCTTTAAGAACAGGGACATGCTCGTAAGAGCATTTTTAGAAAAATTCATGTTAGAAGTAGGACAAAGTAATGCCCTCACAGCCCTTTCCTCTTTATACTTGATAAGTAGTGATATAGAACTTTTATTCACATAAAAAATAGCTGATAATTTATTAGAGTTTGATTTTTTATAAATTAAATGTACAAGTACATAATAAATTATTAAAATATTAAATTATAATATTTTAAAATATAATTAAATATATAAAAAAATAAAAATATATATATTTAAATTAATGATAATGCTTTGAAAATATTTTAATGATACATACTTAAAAATTATATTTTTTAGTTAATTAAAAATAATAATTAATAAATGAACATGTACTAAGGATCTTTTTAGTTTTTTTCTTTTCTTTTTGACCAATAATAAACCATGGACATTCGATCTAGTGAATTTTCAAGTAGATTTTTTATAAAAAAAGCATAATGATTCAAACCATAAAAAGAGAATTATATGTTATGATTATATTTAATTATATAATTATAAAATTATATTTAATCATGATTTGATTGGAAAAAATATATGGGATAAAATCTTAATTAAACCTAATAATAGATTTAATTGTTATGCTTAAGATTAACTTCCAAAAAATAAATATACTCAATAATTCAAACATATTTATTAAAAACATCAAAAATTGAAAAAAAATATCGATCTAATTTTTTTGTTCTAGCTAACATATGATTTTTATTATATGTATATATATATATATATATATATATATATTTTATGTTCTAAATGCACATAGTTGATATACTGATTTCAGCGATAAATGTGATCTTCTACACAGAACATTTCCTATTGTGATTCATTTTTACACACGTCTCAACCATGTCACCAATCCTTGCAAAATTCATCAGCACATTAAACCCAATCCACGTCTTCAAGTGAAAACCTCGTTAGTCGCTGGCAAGCAGAAAACACATACACACAAAACACTGTTGTTAGTGCGAGACAAGACGCATTGAAAAACAAAACCACGTATCTCGGATAACATTGAGCACACGTACACAAGACTCCAAAGCAGGGGTTGGAAAACGTCACACAGCATGAAACATGCTCGAGGAATTAAACAATTGTGGTTTCAACAAAACTGAACTGGTGAGCGTAAAGGAAGCTTCACAAATTTGACTCCGGTGACGTAAAAGCTGCTCCTTGACTTGGTTTATCTCGCTGGATCCCCTTTTTGTCTGCTTCCCTCAGCCAGAAATAATTACACTTGTGCAGCTCGTGAAACAGTGTTCCAAACAACTCTCTTTCCACCGCCTACGTTGGCTAGCATGAAGACTGAGAGATCAGGTAACTAGTCAACATCTGTGCTCGGCGTTTGTGAGTGCATTCGGAGGTTTTGCTGTGATGGGACTGTAGTGAACAGTCCTTGGATCCTGCGTTGAACAGTGCCGAACTGTTGTGCAGAGAAACGTTTGTTGAAGGGGTGAGTGCATTCTGGTGTGGAGGTTGTAGAATGAAGGACTTGAGAAGTTATTGAGAGAGCCAGCTTGGAACAGCACCGTCTGTATCCATGGCGGCAGTTGATATCCATCAAGAATCGGAGGTTGAGCTCGGCGGAAAGAGAAGATGTTCGAACGGGTTTGGAGGATGGGGTTTGAAAGGACTGTTGCAACCCACCAGCGTTGTGGCGAGTGCGTCAGCGTTCGATGCTTGGCTTGTTGCTGCAGCTGGGCAGGTACTGGAATCGTCATTTCGACACTTGCACTCCGTTATTTTGCTTTACATCGGAAAATGTATGCAGAAGGATTTCGTTTCTGAGTACAGACCGAACGCCATAGTCACTGTCGTTCTCTCATGGAAATAACTATTTGCTGTACCCACAGATAGGCCAAGTGCTGGTTACCCTACCATATACGATGGCCCAAATGGGAATTGCCCTCGGTGTGGTTGCTTTCATTTTATACGGAGCTTTGGGTGCCTGGACTGTGTACCTGCTTGTGTGGCTCTACTTGGAGCACAAAGCCAGATATGCCGCCGATGGAAAGGTTCAACCAGAGAGGCATATTCTTCAGGTATGTATGTATATATGTATGTATGCAGCTCAGCTGTTTTTGGTATCTCATTTACCATCAATCTCATGATAAGCGTTCTGTAACCTTACTCTTCTATAACCAGACCATTGAAAAAGATGTTGTCAATGTTACAAAGATTTTATCTACCTGTGCAGTATCATGAAATCATAACAGGTCTGACGGGAAAGTTGGGCGGCAACATAACTTACTTCTTCATCGTTTTTACAATGTTCCTAATATGTATCGTTCAACTGGTTGCATCATCCAGGTACCAACAATGAGAACTCTCATGTAACTCCGTTTTCTTGCTATTATTATTACAGCACCATTGAATTGTCGAAATGGCTGGAATGCAAGAATCAAATTCCTTGTTGACAGGATTTTTAATAATGGCTGCAGTGATCTCTACTATGCAAATGACAACCTGAACAAGCGAGAGTGGCAATATATTGTCGGAGCAGTGGCATTCTTAACCGTTTTTGTCCCAGATTTCAAACACTTCCGTTTAGGTTCCCTAATTGGCGTCTTGACAACCTCCATCACGTCCGTCTACATGCTCATTGCAGCGATCTCTCAAGGCCAGGTCATTCTTATACATTGTGTGAAGCTAAGGTTCTACTTCTTATGTTATCAAGCTGTGAAAAAAGTAAGTGGTCCCTCGTATTAAAACTTTTGAGCTCAAGACAAAATTGTTGTGTAAATCTCTGAATGCCTCTGTCCACTTTTGCTGTACACAGGGAGCTGGAGTTACCCACTCAGGTGTAGCCGACAAAGTGGAGTTCTTCACCGGTGCCACGGTTATATTAAGTGCGTTTGGAGGTCACGGAATCACCATGTAAGAAATTCATATCAAGTTTCACTTACTCCATCGATGGACCACTAATACTGACAAGGTTGACGATATACGCAAGTCTGCGATAGAATCTCGAAGCATTTGTAAGCCTTAGTGAATACACTTACATGCTATGGAAGAAAAAATTGAGTTTCCAATCTAAGGCCCTATTTACACATTCTCAAGAGCCCTCTCAATTGTGTCGGGGGCAGCGAGATTCTGGAGTCCATGAAGCGGCCAGCGTCATACAAATGGGTGTGCATAGCAGTGACAGTGTACGCACTGCTGGTGACAGTCCCTAGCGCCATCGCGGTCTACTGGTCCGCCGGGGATATTCTACTTGTGCGCTCCAATGCGTTCGCCGTGCTGCCTCCAAGCGGCTGGCGCACAATGGCAGTCGCATCGCTCGTCATCCACCAAGTAAGATGCGCCAACAGTCCGGCTTCCAAAACCTCTCACAACACAATCAACACCCAACTTTTCTGAAACTCTCTTCTCTACTTCTGAGAAAAATTCAACACTTAGGCAGCCATTTCATTACATGCAGGCTGCAGGCTTTGTACTCTTCTCGCACCCAGTCTTCCTGCTCTGCGAAAAGGCAGTCGGAGTGCACACCAAAGCGTTCTTTCTACGAATCCTTGCCCGCATTCCAGTTGTCGCTGCCATGTGCTTCTTCGCCCTACTTCTACCATTCTTCGGACCCATAAACTCCATCATCGGGGCATTCGGGGTCGCCATCGGGATGTACATAATCCCCTCCGTGGCGTTCCTCTTCACCTACCGCTCCAGCTTCGCTCGCCAGGTACGCCCCCACCCATGTCATCGAATCTCCACCTTAACCTTATCCATTTCTCCGATGTCGGTACTAGCCTATCATGCTCGCAAAACACAAACACGGCCTTCAAAATGAGACTTTCGCATTTGTCTGTTTGAGTATGTGTGTCTAGATTTCGGCTGCATGATGATACTAGTATTTCAGAAGAACTCACGACCATGGCATGTGTCGTGATTGTGTGTGCTTTTGAGGTTCTAGAATTCGGCTGTGCGATTGCCAGCACTTCTTCCGAGCTGGAAGCTCCTGTTTCTTGTGAACGGGACCATCATCGTGTGGTGTTTAGTGATCGGCGTTGGGTTCGGCGGATGGGCTTGCATTGTTAACCTAGTGCGGCAGATCAACAGCTTTGGTTTGTTCGATAAGTGTTACCAATGCCCTCCTAATCCGTAAACAACATTTAATTCAATGAAGGTCCTACTTATATATATATATATATATATAATTTATATCACACTTCAAATTCTCATATGCCTGAATCATACAATCATCTTTGAAGAAAAGACAGTCTTCATAGAAAAAGATTAACATGACGTATTTAAATGTTTTATATATCAAATAAATTATTACTTCAAAACAAGGTTTTATAACCAAATTGACAATGATATCTTTTATCAGTAGAAGTGATATATATATATTCATTCACATTCACAAAGTTTGCATTAGTCAAAATGAAGACCATGAAAAAGGGTGAAAAGGTAACAGTTTTAGAGATGATAGGAGGCCAAGTTAATAATTGAATCCACTAACCAAATATCTCTTTGTGGTCAATAAATTCAATATATGTTGCATTTGGGAAGCCAACAACAATTCACATCTGACACCTCAATTAAAGTGTGCTTTTTGTAAACATATTTTATTTCAAGGGATCTTTAAAATAATAATTTTATGAATTTTAAATTAAAAGAGGTACAACTAGGAAAAGGGCTGAAGAATAAAAAATAAGAAAAAAAATAGAAAATCGCTAAAGATTTAGCAGGCTCAGGATACAAAAGTTTGATTCAATTCATGCAAAAAGATTTTGTTTTCTGGGACACATTATTTGGACAGCTATTGGAACAATAGATACAATGGTTTATTCCACAATAAAAATAAAAATAAAAATAAATATTTTCTGGTTGAATGTATATTTTTTTCATATTCTAGCTTTGTATTTTATTTTAATGTTCAAAAACTAAGTGGTCGCTGTCATCTTTCTTATGGAGTTATGGCTTGTTTGACCAATAAAGTCTTGAAACTGACTTAAAGCTCAAAAACTTTTTATGAAGAAATTGGATCTCAATGAAGTAGAGGTATGAGGAATGTTTAATGGCATGTTTGACAATGTTTAATTTAATTTGATTTTAAAAATAAATTAAATTAAAACCTTGTTCATTCCTCTATAAATTTGAGGTCAACATGACAAGATTACATGATGTACATATTGTTAGAGGATTTGTTAAACGTAAGTCAAACAATCAATATTGATATAAACATTTTTTCTATACATAATTGTACCTCCCAAAGTCAATACATAAATAAATATGGGTTCTTGTCTATCAATTTGGTTCTACAATTGTAAGTCAATATTTTTGATTTCTTTTACTTGGTATTCTAAATAGTGATTATCAAGTTACAAAGGTAATCTTTTATAAGAAGGGTAGTAGATTTCATTGTCTAAGCTAATTATTTAGAGTAGATTTTCTAATTTTTACAAGTACAAATATTATATTAGAGACTTTGCCTTTGCAAGACTTGATGACTTCTATTACAATAATCTGTAGGTAATTGATAAGTTGAAAAATTGGCCAATAAATTGGCCAACAAATTGGCTATATATTGCACATGTTGGCCACTTGTGATACAAGTTAGTCATGTGGAAAACATGTTAGAAACTTATTTTGTAAGATAGACACGTGTTAAATAATATATAGAATGTCACCACATAGCTTTTTTGTTAGATAGTATGTACAAAGGCAAGATTGGGGTCATCCTCACTCTTGTCAATGTCTTTCTTGTTTTCAATTTTTTTTCAAGAATTTCTAGCCTTCTTGTCTTTGGCAATAGCCATTCTAATTTTAATATTATAACTATCTTTAAATAAATATTTAATCATTTCTAATGACACAAGAGTATATAGTGTCATGGACATACTCATATAAGCCAGTAATTACATATATAAATATACAAAAGTAAGTTAATTCTATAGTATTTGGTATGGAAGCTTCCTAAAAGCTTCATAGATGGTGCTTTGACTTTATAGGTGTCTTTAATTGACTTTTTGGATTAGAAACGTGGTCAAGAAGTTAGCCATGTGCCACATATGTTGTTAGCTTGAAGACTAAGCTAACAATGTGGTCCACACATAGAAAAACTTGCCTTGTAAGTCAAAGCATGTATCCTACAAAGTCAACACATATTGAAGGTTCTATAGAACATCGCCACGTAGCTCCTAGTTAGATAGTATATATAGAGACAAGAGTGAAGCCTTCTTCACTCTTGTCAACTCCTTTCTTATTTCCAGTCTAGTTTCAAGAGTATTCATGTTTTCTAGTATTTGGCAATAGCCATTCTAGTTTCTCTTTCAATATACATACTTGTTTATTTATATTTTGTTACCTTTCTTTGAGTGAAGGCTCACTTGTGTGAATTGCTTTTTTCATCGAGTTCTTGCCATTGACATATAGACTCTTTAGTTGTTTTGTGATTAATGTTATTAACACTTCTACATTAACTTTGGAGATTCTTTAATTTGATGTCATGTTTTAAGATTTATACCTTTTTATGAATTAATTTTGAATTAAATTAGCTAGTTTGAAGTTCTCCATATATTGAATTTGAACCTAGATAATTAATTTGTTGTTACTAATTAAACTTCAAAAAATCCAAAAAATATAAGAAAGATGAGACAAAAAGTAAAAAGAAACAAGATTAGAGGGCACAAATAGTAAACTAAACCATGTCTCATTTTTAGATAAAAGTTGGACTTTATGTTTAAATTTTATGATATTTTTGTAAAAAAATTGAAAAATAAAAGACCTAATCAAATAGCATAATGTTAAAAAAATTCTTATTTGTCTCACACTATAAATAATTATTTTAAGAATAAAAAATAATTCTATAAGATTTTTTTCAAAAAATAAAAATATAATAATTATTATGGATTTTTTTGAAAAATAAAGTGTATTATTATTTCAAATTTTTAACTACTATTATATTAATAAATATTTTAAAACTTAAATCACTAGTATATATTGTAGATATGAATATATATAGATATATATGAATATATATATATATATATATATATATATACAAAAATATTTTGAATTTAATATGGATAAAACGATTAAAAAACTATTAGTTTTTATTAAAATTATTATTTTAACTATGCTAAATAAAAAATTTCTAATAGAATATAATCTTCTTATGTAAATAAGAAGTAATTTATAAAATATTAAAATTATCCAAAAATTCATGAAATTTTCGATAAAAGGAATTTTAAAAAAAATGAAATATAAAACATACTAACATCAAAATAAATATTAATAGAAAAAAAGCTATTATTGTCATTTAGAGTACGAACATGAAAACATATAGACTTCAAAACACCTTAACAGCATTGAAAATATTATGAATATTATTTCAATAGATAGAGTAAATTACTCTATATTTACTCTATATTTTGAAGTAATAAGTTTTAGATGATTTTTTTCTTAAAATAAAAATATACTTTTGATAAGACATTTTAAATAGTTAAATTATTGAAGAAAAGTGATAAGATGATGCATCTTTTATTAGGATCTTAATATAAGGTGCATCACCTTCTGATTTATTCATACTTTTAGTATAATAAAGTGGTTGTGCTTATATCAAAAATCTCTTTAATTTGAATTTTTTTTAAAAAAGTAGAAGAAAACCAAATTAAATGCCTATTGATTTTGAAGATTTTGAAATAAACAATTGATTAAAAATATTTCTATGGTATTGCTAAAGGTAGTAAATAGAATAAAGTAATATTGTAAAATGAATTTAGATTAAAAAATAGAGGATTAAAACGTTAAAAGTTTTGTTTGAAGTATAATTATATATATATATATATATATATATATATATATTTAAAAGATCATAAATTCAATTCCAGTAAAATAACACAATATATTAATTAATGACATAATAATTAACAAAACTAAAAAATTAGTTCGATATTAGCCTTACGTGTTATAATTATATGTAAAATTGGAGATATGAAAAAACTACTAAAGTGCAGTATTTATAGTCTGAATAATATTTCATCACGTTTTGATGCATTAAAAAATTATAAAATATAGATACAAAATTAAAATTTTGGGCGGCAACAAGTCTATTAACTCTAAAATGTGTTCTAAAATTATTAAATCATTGTTTACTATTGTCTAATGTTGTCTATATTTTCTTCTTAATTTTCAAATCAAGAAACTATCAACCAATTTATCTTGTATTGTATATATTTTATTTAATCGGCATTGAAAAAAACTTGGTACTTAACTTATAAAACATAATTTAATAGAATAATGATCAATTTATCTAATATTAATTTATTTTTTATTATATATTTTTTATTTTATGATTATATAGTACATATATTAAAAAAATTATTATAATATTATTTATTTTTGAAAAATATTTTAAATAAAGAAATATATATTTAACAAGTTTTATCAATATAAATGAGATTAAAATTTAATTTAATATTTATATTTAAAATATTTTAAATTTAATTTAAAGATATTATATATCTATATATTTTTAAAATATTACATAATTTTTGTTTATTAATGCTACATCTCCAATTGATATTGCTACATCCTACATGAATTCTTTGTAGACAACTAGTTAATAATACGCATTTTTCTTTTGCTTATTTTTTTCTTTCTTTTCTTTTACAAAAGGTGAGAGTTAAAAGAGAGACAATGAAATTTTATAAAAAAATAGATAGAAATATTTATTTTTAAAGAAAAAAATATTTTCCTCAAATATTGTCTAATTTTATTTTTTTCTTAATATTATTATTTGACTATCAAAAATACAAAAAAAAAAAAAACTTATTTTTTGATTTATTCTATTTTTTGGATCAATAATGGAATTAAATATTGGGCTACCAAACCCACCTTAAGCGCAAAGATGCACTTTTTAGTCAATTTAAGTTGTGTAGAGGTCATATGGGTGTAGCAATATTAATTGGAGATGTAGCATTAATAATTCTCAAAAAGACACAATATCAATAATATAAAAAATAGTACAAAAAATATAGATACAATTTTAAATGAGGTTTTTTAAGCATGTCATAATATGTAATATTATTTTATTCAATGTGAAATAAGATAAAAAATAATTAAGCAATAAGATTTATTTAAATTTAAATATATAGATTAATTTTCATTTTACTGTAAAAAGTTATCAAGTTTTTTATTTAACAATCTCTTTACAATAATTCTAATACAAACATTCTTCAAAAAGAAGATAATCCTTTTAGCTTCCAAACTCTAGACAAGAAAAATCTCATATACTAAATCTCCAAAAAAAAACCAACATATACCATCATGTAAACATTAATTGAATGAATATTTGATGCTCTAAATAAAGATACATGATACGACTAGATAATGATTCCAGTAAATATTAATTCTACAATTTTTACAAGAAAAACAACAATAGTGTGAGGTTCAATGTGCAACCACCGTTAATCTTCTATAAATTATGTTCGGCCTTCTTCCATCCCTTCAGCAAATTATATACTTCAATGAATTCTATAATGACACAGTATTAGTAACCCCCTATTTCTCTAAAAAAAACTTTCACTCATGAATTTTCCTTAGCTCCTTAATTGATGCTTATTCACATCACACCTCATTAAACAGTTTTATACTCTGCATCACATTGGTTTCCATTTGAGTTACATACAGACAGAGCTCTCCTCCCTCATCTCCGAGCATATATGCTCCTTCACAAGGGTCTGGTATGCAGTGTAAACGCATCAGAAGGAACCTGGATACTAGTGAGAATACAAAGATGAGTGACTAAATCAGGTTCACAAAAGATTATTAATTTTTCAAGCAGTTATCCCATGGTTGATTATTTGTTAACCAGGGCACCTGATGGGTCCTCATCACAATCTAAACGTTCACATCCTTGTGATGGAACTGCCCAGTGCATTGCAAGGTTTGTAGTTATTTGATGTAGGAGCAGTGGCATTCGGAAAAACAGCAGTTTTGAGCAGTGCATGCCTCGTTTGGGTTCGTTGAAGAGGTAGTGAAGATTGCTGCTTTGTTTTTGATGGTGTGAAGAATGGCACCCAAGAAGCCCAAATTGTCGCCGAGGAAGTTGTCGGTGACGTCGCAGAAGTCGAAGCTGACACAAAAACCAGATGGAGCGTCAGTCGGTATCTCCCACAGCCCTATTGTGGAACCTCCCCTTGAGAAACCGAACCCTATCGTGTTCATTGACGTTAAGATTGGTGGACAGGAAGTGGGTAGATTGTTCGTGGAGCTTTATGAGCACATTGTGCCGAAGACAGCAGATAACTTCCTGAAGTTGTGTACGGGAGTGAAAGGTTTGGGGAAGCAGGGGATAAAACTGACATACAGGAGGACAGTGTTCTTCCGGATAATTCCCGGGGTGTATGCTCAAGGGGGTGATATAATAAAAAACGATGGAACAGGAGGGGAGTCTACTTTCGATGGAATTCCGTTTGAAGACGAGAATTTCAGGGTAAGCAATGCGAGGATTGGATCCCTGGCGATGTGTAACACGGGGCCAAATACGAACGAGAGTCAATTTTTTATCAATCTTGCTCCGAATCCAGACCTCGATGGTAGCCACGTCGTGTTTGGCCAAGTGAAGGAGGAGTGCAGGCCTGTCTTGAAGGCCATGGAAGCAGCAGGCTCATGGACTGGAAGGACACACCAGAAGGTGTCGGTTAAGAGCTGCGGCTGGGTAAATAAGCCATCCAAGGAGCTCTCAGGGATGTCTGAGGAAACAGCAGAAGCAGTAAGACTGAAGACAGAGGTGGCAGCAGTCGGTACAGCGGACGAGCACTAGAAGGTTGAGATGTCGGGCAGGGAACGAACAGCGTTGAAATCTGACGCGTGACTGTCACTTCAATTCGCCAGACCGAAAAATTGAGCAACATGTTCCTCTCAAATGTTAGTGCTGCATGGCCTGGTTAAGTCAAGATAATTACAGGATGACAGAAGTCTTGATATGCCTGTCATGGCCAAGCAGGAAAGCAGCCCTAACTACAGGTGGGAGAATAGGTCTCCTTTTTCTGCCTTAAGCAAGAATTTCTTCACATCATTCTCACAAGTATTCCAAATAGTGAAGGGGCGTCGTGCCCTCTTCACGCAGTCACTGCTTTGACGCGGAAGGGAAGGATTCTTCTCGCATCTATAGATACCCTCTAGAGAAGAGTGTGAGGGCGATCAGGCTCACTTATCTGTATGTGATATTTAATATTAAACAATTGCAATAGTTTTTAAGTTTCAGAAAGCAATCAGATTTGAAAAACACCACTTACAATCCACATCATGGACCTCCTTGTGACGCCATAAAACTGAAGGAGTCAGCATCGTTATCCTACATGCATATCAGATACAAAAAAATCAACCAGCAGACAGTCATAGAACCACAACCAAAGATCAATGAGAGAATCCATTTGCACAGCAATGTAGCTCACAGTTTCTCATACAATGAGTACAGAGTTCCTCTCTGCTTCTGGTTTTCTTGACTATCTGTTACGTTTGAAAGAGACGAAAGACGTATTGGTTTGCCGAAGTTCGAGTTAGACTCTGCCATCCATGCCGTCAAAAACACCCCCCCAAATACCCTTGATGGGTGGTAACTGCACAGACATAGCTTTCCAAGAAGGAATGCCGATTCCACTTCCACGGACCCTTCCATCTAATCGTAAGGATACATATCTGCAGAAAAAAATTGAATTTGAATGATTGTTGTTACAAGCCGTGAAAAGAAAACAAAATTGAAACCTCTCTTTTATAACACCCTGGTAAGAAGTGTTTTAGTATCGTAGTCTCTCTTCGATGATTAAGTCCGACTGAAAGTGTGTTTCTTGTTCAAATTTGACAAAACAAAAGCAGGACCTAATTCAGCAGACATTTTGTTTTAACTACAAAATCTGAGTGGATTCACAGGTCCAGGCATGAGATCACAAGGTGAGAACAACCAAAGTTATTGGGTTTAACACTTACACTGGTTGGTCAGGTGGAACGTTCGCGAGTTTCTTCTGATCATCTATCCACCTGCAAGATGTGCTCGCACACGTAAGAATCCTACGTACTGTCTGCTTAACTACATGGTTAAAAAGTGCGCAACCTCATAGCCATCCCCTAAACAATGCTGACGCAGCGTACATATCTCGAATGACATTATAAGGGCACTAAACTAAGGCGGGGATAAAACGAAACCGAAGTCTTATGTGCTTAAACCCTGCTTTCAGGACAACAGATAATTTTTTTTATCAGTGCCAGGAGAAATTCAGTGAAGGATGATACACTTCCAAGTCACTATATAGGTTATTTTAAACCTCCATGTGATAGGAGAGTGTGCAGTCATGACAGGCTGAAAAATAAAAAAAACAAAAAAAAAAACACATCGAGGCTCCTGGACAGCCGTGATGCCTACCTCCCCCATTCCGATGTATAAATCGGTGTTGCTCTCCATTTTTTCTCAAGGTCAGCTACAGCAACCGATTGGTTTGACTCGCTTGAATCTTGTTTGTTACCTGCACAAAAGAAGAGATTTTAGCTTCAACAATCGGCGGGATGAAGCTAGGACGTCGTCAGGTCCAGATAAAGACGCCCTGCGTTGTCCGTGAGTCGGCACTTCACTGTCAAGGATGTTATCAGAGTGAGTCACTGAGTTGAACTGCATAACATTGATAACTAAAAGTTTGTCCAGAAGAGACTAGTCGCACATGGAAGAAGTGAAATTACGAAGATAGCATCGTTCAGAATTGTAGAGATTTTTTGCAAAAATATCTCATCGTGCCTCCAGCAACTACGTAACCGCTCTCATCAATCTAGTGTTACTATCACTCATTCACTCGAGCTCATCACACAGTCACAGTATAGGAAGAGCAAGGTCTCAATGGATGAGCAGTACAATTGTGAGATTAAAGTCAGTGGTTTAGTAGTTGATGCAGCCCCAATGATCCGGTTCGAAGATATACATCGGTCATAGAAAAAAACCAAATGTTAAAAATGTTCGAAACAGTGGAATTTGAAGGCTTAAATCACATTCTAGATCTCGCCTCCTAGAGACCGACATGATCATAGTACTCGGGTAGGATGGATTTAAAGAATAAAAAGAACATACTGGATGAGACAGAGCTATAATCTGCAAAAGAGGCCCCATCTGTTGCATACGCAGCCACCAGCACCCCACGATCAAGAAGTTCCTGCTTGTAAGGCTCGCTTTGTTTGAATGCTTCCTCAATGTAGGAACCTGGACCAGCAAGAATGACAAGGCGAGCAGTTCCTCGCAGTTCCCCAATGGTCACTACTCTTCTATTGCTTAGTTCAAGTCGCAAATTCGATAAATTCTCTTCCCTGGCAATCTTGGCTAATGATTTATCTCTCGCCTTCGAGTCTGACCTGCAAATATAAGCTATGTGAAGGACTTGAAGGATCGATACGGGGACATATGAAATCAGCAAGAAACCAGTTGCAACAAGAGCGCCGTAAGAAAGGTCATGACGGATAGGAAACATGAAACGGATTCAAGTTTGCACAGGGGTTATCAATTGACCTGTACAGCAATGCAAAGATAAGTACTGCTCCGAAGTCAATTGCTATTCCCTTGGCGATCTCAATGGGATCCCCTGAACCTGGTGCGTTGTTCAAAGCTGCAATTAGACGAGTAATGGCGATCAGACCACCAACACCCCCACTTGCCATAAACGCGCCATAGAAAAACATCCGAAGCGCACGAAATGGGGCAATGACCTCGCTTCGAATTTTTGCGTCAGAGCTGCAATTCAAAAGGTGGACAACGTATGCTTAAGAATGATTCTCAGACACAACTTAGCCCATGATCCACTACCTTAAAAGGACCAGACAAACTGATTTACGTGAGTCTGATTCCCTTAAATCATTGCTTCTCAAATATAGGGACAGCATTTTCCTACCATCAGATACAGTTTTCAACAAAACATCCAGAGGCCATGACCCTGGAAAATGAAAGACACACTGACACCAAACAGAAGCAACTGCCAAGAAAAATACCTGTATTCAGGCCGAGGAGGTCCATTGTCGCTACCCTTAGCGCAGACGACTCTCACTAGTTTCCCATTCAATTTCACACCTCGCGCGCCACCGCCCCTACAAGCCAATTCCAATCTGTCGCTTCTCCTGACGTACAAAGAACTTTGAGACGAGAATTCAGCGAGTCCGCGCGGCAAAGGAAGCGACCTACGCGAATGAAAGCGGGACGATTTTATTACAGCATTGTTACAAGAGGAGAAGCTGGGGCTGTGTGAAATTGCAGAAACCATGTCCGGACAAATGCCCACGCCCCCCATTCAATACACGGCCTGGGACAATCGGCTAACACCCCGCGCTACGAGCAGAGTCCGTCTGGCTGGGTCTCCTCGCACAGGAAAGAATCCCAGATTCTCATTTAAGAATTGCAGAATTGCTTTGATGGGTCGATAGCTCGGAAGTCTAGGTAGGGTGTGCTCTGAATCTAAGAGACGTTCAACGTGGTGGCACCGAAACCCACGCTCGCAGGGTTCCCAATCGCTTCACGCCTTCGAAGCTCCATCGCCACTCTTGAGGCTCACAGACTTCGACAACAGGGCGCTGTCCGTGTGGTGCCAACACGGCCTCGGATACAAGATGGAGTTCCCCTCCCCCGTTCCCCTTGTTCCCTCCGCGCGAACCAGTTCCCCTTCCATCTCGGAATCCGGAATCTGGGGAACTAACTTCTCATTCATTCATCCAGCCAAGATTCTGGATAATTGCTTGAGTGTTTGTGAGCATCCTTTTATGCGCTTTGTTATTTTTTTCATCCATTTCAAAGCAAAAAAATAAAATAAAATAAGAATTCTTTCCATAGACTTGTGATGCTGAATGTGTGTCATTGATGGTTTTGTGAGGGTAAAGTATGTGCAAAGTTACCTGTCTTTTAAAGTTTTTTTTTTTTTTTTTTTTTTTTTTTTTTTTTTTAATTTTGATTTATTTGGAATGGTTGAAATTATATTTTATATTAAATTTGAATATATGAATATGTGTTTATATTCATATGCAGGGATACTTTTTTCAAATGCTCTGCAACATTTCATAGGTTGTAAATCTTTGTTCATGAATTTTGTGCCTTATTTTTTTGTATGAATGATTTCAAATTTAAGTTGAAATGGAAGATAACTTGGTATTTATATTATTAATTTACTGATATTAATTAATTTTTTTTATTTAGAAATATATTCTTAAATATTTTATTTTTGTTTTATTAGGCTTATTATAGGGTGTTGCTAATGCCACCATATCTTTTGCTATTGCCATCATAACCATTTCTTACTTGTTTGATATATATATATATATATATATATATTATTAATTTTTTTATTGGAATAAAAAAACTAAATAAGTATATTAAGTAGATGAAAAATTATGGTGGCATTAGCACAATTCTTATTATATTTTATTATAAAATTTTCAAATCATATTTTATCCAAAATTGGTCTAAAATTTTGTGGGGTTTTTTTTAGCTTAGTTTAGAATGCTGTTGAATAATATCTTATAATTCTAAAAAATTGCTAATAGTGCTTCTTAAATATCACATAGGAACTTGATTGTAAAAATAATCTCTTATGTGTTGATGGATTAATTAAAAAAAAAAACCGATGGAGATTATAATAAAATATTTTAGAGAATTTTAAAGATATTTAAAATAACTCTTTGAGCACCTTTAATAGACTAAAATACTCAACTTGAGAATATTTTAGTAAAATTTAAATAATTCTTTTATTAATTAAAATTAAAAATAAAATAAGAAATTTAGTGAAAAGTAATAATATGTTAAATATTTTATTAGAATGGTATTAAATTTATATGTCACAAGATATGAATAAAAAAATTCTTAGCTTTGTATTATTTATGTAAAATTTAAATATTTATTAATTTTTTAAAAATTTATATATAGAAATTATTTTTGAATCTTAATAAAAGTTTATAGATTTATACAAAAAAAAAAAAAAAAAAAAAAAAAAAATCCCCTAAAACATTTACTTAAAATCTAAGTTTTTATGTATGCCAAAGATACTTATGAATTAAATAGATTTATGCTAATTTTTAAGTAAATTACTTCATATATATCTATATATGTATATATATATATATATATATATATATATATATATATAACATAGTTACATATGAAAGATCACAAAAAATATAAAACAATTCTACTTGTTTATTGAAAGCAATACTCATATATTTATTACTTTAATAGAAATTCAAGATCCACTAAGTTAGTCGTTGTGTTTTCAAAACACTTTTATTTAAATAAATAGCTTTACTATATCTTAGAAACACATATTTAGTTAAAGTTACATACAATTGGTTATAAATAAATAAAAAGGTATAAATGTTTATAGCTACATCTTACAATGGTTGGTGTTAAGATTTATTAATGGATATTGAATATGTAAGATTCATTAGAAATTTCTACCATTGGATTTTAAAAACGAGTTTTTTGTCAAAAAAAATATACTCTTTTTTGAAAAAATATTAATTTGTTTTAGTCTCATGTTTGTAGTCTTATATTAATAAAAGAATTATAAACCTTGTAAAAACCAAACAAGAATTATTAAAAATGCAAAAAAGTCAAGAAAATATTTTTTATCATTATTAGATGACATCAAACTTTGAGTTCTAAATTTGATGGAGGTATTTCATTAGAATTTAACCCAATAAAAAATTCTACTGGATATAAACTTCTATTGTTTGATATATCTTTTGTTTGGATTGTATTTTTTAATTTTTTAATTATCAATATTTAAGAAAATAATAAAAACACTAATTGATAGGTATCATCAGTATTTTTATTTTTTAAAGATAATATTAATTAATTTTTAAATATCTAATTTATAATTCAAAATAAGTAATTCTATTTAAACATTTCACAGTTAATCGTATATGCATATGACTTGAAAAAATTACTTTGTTTGGTAATTGATTATTTATAATTGAACCAATTTTAATTTTTAATCAATTGGTTTTAAGATTTATTGACTATATAATTATAAAAAAAAAATATATATATATATATTTTACTATTAAAAAAGTGTAGCCAAAATATCTTTTAAATATTTTATTTGAAGTTGTGATCTTCTCATGTTTCAAATTACTTTAGTTTTTGCTTAATCTTGGGGTAGATAATAAATAAATTAAAAAATTATATTAAATTAAAATCAAAGTAAATTTAAAGATATTTATTGATAACTATAATGTTTGATTATAAGTTTAAAAAAAACGTTTTAATAACCAAATTTGGCTTTTTTTCAACAATGAAGGAAAGATGTGACAATCTACTTCAAAAACAAATTATGTTTTATAATATAAATATATCAATGTAATGTCTTTATGGTCTTATTAAAAGATAAAAACTTTTTTTATGTTCAAATGTGGTTTTTCCAAAGAGGCAACCAAAGAGTGCAAAGTAAGAATATTTTTCTTGAGATTGAGTTTAGAAAGCTAAATTTTGAGAGATTAAAATGAATGGAGTTCGAAGTGTACAAAGATTTTGTACAAATACAAAAATTATTGTAATAAATATACTGATAAATCTGATGGATCTTCTTGGCTCATTTAAATTGCATAAGGAATCATATCATTTACTCTTAAAATACTTTTTTCAATATAACTGTTATTTTATAAAACCAAAGGTTTTTTTTTTTTTTTTTTTTTTTTTTGTTTAAGGAAAAAAATTTAGAATTAAAAAACAAAAGACCACAGCCAGTATTTTGTCAGTTTCTACAGAGATGTCTTGTTATGATTATATGTATACATATTAAGCTTTTACCGACCTAAAAAAATGAAGTATTTATAATCAAGTAGTAGTCATCTAATAACGCTTATAAATTTCTTTCTGTTGGTGCATGAAGAAGGTATAAATCTGTGCCCTATTTCATCACCATGAAAAAAAAAATCATTTCAAGGTTTGTCACAAGAAGCTATATATATATATATATATAAATATACTTTGATCTTTTTCATGAAGACGACAGTTTCTAGATTAGAATTTTCTGATTAAAAAACAGTACGGATTCAAACAACAAACATGTAAATAATAAACTTATCGCTTATTATTAATTCAATGAAAGCCCACTTCGTTATCAAAACATTCAAAGGTTTTTAAAACAAACCTGATCAATTCCACTAAACACTAACATTCACAAGCAAGTCTGAAACATCAGTCGGTAGTGAAAGCACTGATCACCGATCCATCAGCACATCATCGATTTAGCAGCAAACGATAAAATCAGTCACTGGAAGCATTCTTCAAAGGTGCGGTGGATTGCCAAACACAGGCGGCGCAACATGAATGAAGCAAGATAAGACTGATGTAATCAGCATCATGTGATAAGATTTCAGCACAGAAGTTAATATGTACACACACACACACTCTTATGGTCTTCTTGGTCTGCAGTATTTATAATCTGAGATCAGACTAAGACACCACCGACTAGCATATATGCTCGCTGCCTTTTGACATCTCCCACTTCGACGGTACCTTCACAACTTGTACTCTAACCTGCTCATAACTTCTTCTCACTGATAATCTAGTTCTCAGACACCGTTTCGTGATTGTGAATTTTCAGTCTAGTAATTAGTCGTGGTCCTGCGACGGCGCCCAGCTCCGGTCAGGCTGTACCTGATGCGGCGGAGGTAGAACATGGGGTTGATGTAGCTCAACATTGACCTGGTCCTCGTCCCTGGATACCCCACCGGGCAAGCCACTCTGCCCCTCCTACCGCGCAAGCCGGACATTGGGGTGCTCCGGCAGCATCACCAACACAAAACCACGATCAACAGCTACACTTGAGAGATGCATCCTTGCCAGCGCAGGCAAACGTCTAATCAGGAACGGAAGCGATATTTGGAAACGCAGGCAATGCGTCCGATGCATCACATGCCCAACCTCCAGGTAAGAGAGAAGTTCCTTCCCAATCTTCCAACGAAAGCTCAGCGTTGACTTTCAAGTGTTTCTTCGAATGAGGAATTTGAATAATTATTGCTTCTCTTATGCAGAATCCTGGTTCCTTCGATGTGATCAACATTCAAATTTATGAGTAGGTTTGCCAGTCACCTTCCGTCTTGAAGTACCTAATTTTTTTGTAAGATAACTAAGGTTACTGATTGGGTTCGGTTTGCCCGAGTCATGCGTTGTGCAAAGGTGGCTCACACTGATCCTGCTCTAAAATCGTATGAACTGAATGGGGGCTAAGACATCCACTCATCGTCCCTTCGAAGAGTTTTCGTATAATTTAAGTCAAGTAGCTGGATCTACCGCACTATGGAAGGTGTGTAGATATTTAGCCTTGACGCCGAAAACTTTGTGGTGTGTTGTTGCCACTTGTTATTCTGTTCAAATTTCAGCATCTTGCTCTTGCCCGCTGAAACTTCACTTGCATCCATGACTAGATTCAAATACTCGATAATCCTCAGGGAATGTTCATCACTCATTTCGCTTGTATCTGGTTTTTAGAAAATCTATCATTAGTTAAGTTTTTCTTTGCAGTGTTCATCTCCACGTTTTGGAAAGAGTTTAGGTAGGCTGATCGGAGTTGCAAAGTCTAGTGCCTTTA